TTTTTTTTTTGCCATGATATCAATCCCTCTCAGTCACTAAGTGATTGTCACAACACTTTATAGAGTTGTTGGTGGCATTAAATCAGATGATGTATAACAGTATTTTGTAAATACTGTAAAGTAGGTTGTGACCGTAGGGGTTTGTAGTTCTCATGGGCATTATTGCTCTTTTTTTCCCACAGTTAAAAGAATTTCAACAAAGAAACAGCCCTGCTGTTCCATCACGAGTGAGCAAAAAGAAGAAAAGAAACAATAGCCATGAGACAGTCTCTTCTGATGGTTGCCAGTCACCATGCCATGTGAGTCTTGGCTGGCCAGGCTTCTAGGAAAAAGGGGCCCAAGGGGCAGTAGAGGGTAATTGTTAAGGTTGTGGAAGAACTTCTGGGTACTGGTTAAGAATTCTGGGTTTGAACCCTGCCTCTCTGTCTGCTAGGGATATGATTTAGGGCAAGGTGCTGGAGCTTTTTGGGCCTCTCCTTTCACATCTGTAAAATAGAAGTGATATTGTCTGACTTCCATTTGTGAAGGTGAAATGAGATTCGTTATTGCTGTTGTTTTTTTGTTAGTCCCTAGTACATGGCCCACTGTAAACACCCAGGACACCCAGGAAATGGTCCTTGCTATTTGGTTTTCCTCATCCCCAGCCTCAAGGGGAAGCCAGCCCAATGAGAACAGCCATTTGCTGTCAGGCTATCCCTTTAAGAGTCACTGAAAGGGCCCCAGGCTGGGATGGTGGGAGATGAGAAGCATGAGAGGAGCTGGCAAAGGGGAGTCATAGGACAAAGGGTCCGAGAGAGGCAGAACAGGAAATGCTGCCAGCTGATGGGGAGGAAAGGAAGTCAGAGGCTTGGACCCTAAGGGGGACAGAACATCTCCATGTGCACTCTCATCTCTTGTAGTCAGCAGCAGGTGGTCCCAAGGAGGGCCCTGCGCCATGTGCCACCATGAAAGATCCAGAGGTAAGAGGCCCTGGGCTGAGGTACAGTGACCCTGCAGGCCAGCCCTCCACCCTCCTCCCACAGTGGCGGCTGGGTGCCCCTCTGCCAGCCGAGACAGCCCCCACACACCCCAACCCTAATGATTGTTCTCTCTACCTCTCCCCCGATCCTCCTCCAACTCCTCCTCTCTGCATGCGCCTCAGAGCACACACCAACTACCAATAGCCCTGGATTCGAGCTCCGTCACAACCAGTGAGCTGAGTAACACCATCAACTTATTGGTAAGAACCCGGTGGGGTCCCCTGATTTCACGCTGCCAATCCTGGGCTCCAGTTTCCCCTTGGGACTGCTGTGGGTGAGTTGAAGGGTGCTATGGGGAGCCAACACTGGACGCAGAGCTCAGAGGCCAAATGCCCGCCCTGCCCTTACCTGGCTGTGGCCTTGGCCAAGTCCTAAGTGGGGGACTCGGTACTTGGACTGTGAAGGTACAGAAGAGTAGCTTTAGCATGTTACCATTTATGTAGAGAGAGGAAACATGTGTGTGTGTGTGTGTGTGTGTGTGTGTGTGTGTACGTACTATGATAATATACATAGAACATGTCTGCAAGGATTTGTAAAAAACTCAGGAGAGGGCACAGGTGGCTGGAATTTACTTCCCTGCTGTACCTTCTGAGTTTTGGACTATGCAAATGTATCATCCTTTCAAAACGTGAACAAAAGATTCATTTCCCACGTCCTGCCTGTGCTCCCACCCCCAGCAGGAAAAAAATGAACTTAGAGGATCAGATGGACCTGGGTGTTCAAATCCCAGCTGTGCCTAAGTGATCTTAGGCAACCACCTAACCTCTAATGCTCCATGGTTTCCATCTACACAATAGAGGTAATGGTAGTAACTGCCTCACATGGTGGTTGTGAGGTTGAATGGGATTGTTACCATGCCACCTGGTAAAGGCTCCAACAGCGGTAGTAATAACAAGAATAACAATAGGATATGATCTGATCTCTCTGGGCCTCTGTTAGCCAGCTGTAAATGTGACCTCTTTCCCTATGCCTTCCGACTTTACTGAGTTCTCTTAAAACCCAGACCACGAGATTGGAAATGCCTTGATCTTTACTGACCGAGTTGTGTACAAAGCCCAGCCCTAGCCCTTTTAAGGGGCACTGTGTGGAATGGCCCAGGCTCTCCAGATTGAAGCTTCTCCCTCTTCACCCTCCAGCCCTCGAGCCGCTGTGAAGCAGTCCTTAAGCAGCAGTTACAGCAGTTTCTACAGGAGCGGGAACTGCTGAAAGCACAGGTGGCAGAGGTAAGACTTTGTGGAGGGAGGGATGTGGAAGGAAGATGACCCCAGGTGGCCAGGAGCAGGTGAGGACCAGTGACAGCCCTTCCTAACTTCTTGCAGGTGACAGAGTGTCTTAAGAAAGTTCAGCTAGAAAGAGACGCATACGCTCAACAACTCAAAACAGAGAGGGAGCGGTGGCAGCAGCAAATGCTGAAAATGGCAGGAGAAGTGAGAGCTGACCCTTCAGCCCCCCACCTTAGATAGCTCACTGGATCTTCCTCGACATCTGTAAAAAGAATAGTCCAGCCAGGGGTGGTCACGGGTCTGGGCTTTGTGGAGCTGGATGCGGAGAGGGAGATGGTGGCCTGTCCAGCCACCAGCCCCTGTCTCCAGGGCCCTTTCTTCCTGTGCTTTGGGCAGATGGAAATATTCAAAATGGAGAAAAAGCAGGATGCAATTAAAATCGAGGAGCTGAAGGGTAGCCTTGCCCACCTACAAAACCATCTGGGTAAGATGGGGCTGGCATGACCCAGGGGCAGGGCTGGTATCAGAGGGCTGTGAGGGTGGCTTAGAGTGCCCCAGGGAGGTGGGTGGCTGGAAGGGCTTTGAGGCAGAGGGAAAGAGGTCTGTGCCAGGAGACGGCAAGCCTTATAATCTCCATGAGCCTCAATGTCCCCATCAGCAAAGAGGGAGGGGTTCCCATTGTCAGCCAGACACAGTGCTCTCTCTATCTGAAAGGGGCTTGGAAGGCTGGCTACCATTTGGGTGTGAGGAATCATTAGCAGTGAGGGCAGGTTTGGGGAGCCTGAGAGGAGCTGTGCACCCAGAAGAGTGGGTTTGTTGTTGTTGTTGTTGTTGTTGTTTTTTATTGAGAATCCAGAGGCCCCTATTGTCTGCTTCCTTTCTCAGCTGAACCCCCAATTTCGAAGCCCCCAGCAGGGCCCTGCGACTTGGAAAAAAACCTAAAAACTGAAATCAAGTACCTGAGAGATGAGCTGCAGGAACAGGACAGAATGCAGGAGGTGAAAACGAGGCTCCGGGAGCAGGAGGTGAGTCTGAGAGAACAGGAGGAGAGGCTTCTTGAGCAGGAGGAGCTCCAGGAGCAGGAGGAGGAGCTGATGTGCTGCCCCCGTGGGGAGACTGCCCTCCTCCCCAGCCCTCCAGGCCTTTGTTTTCCCACCTGTAAAATGGGGGAGGGTATGAAATGGGGCTTCTAAAGGCAGCTGTGAGCCAGAGCCATCAAGCCCTGCTCTGATGGCTGTGGGAGAAAGGAGACAATTTCTCTAACCTCCACCCTTCCCGGTGCCACGGGAGGCAGACACCAAGTTCTGGGGTCTCCAGCTGCAGTGGGTGGTGACTGATTGCTTCTCTCTGTCCAGAACAATGAGAACAGGAGCACACTGCATTTGGAGCAGGAAGGAAAGGAGCTGCAGGAGAAGCTTGACGAACCGGAGACGGTAACCTCCACCCCACCCAGGAGGGCTGGGAGGCAGGCACTGGCCTCTGGAGAGGGGAGGTGCAAGGCCAAAGGCAGCTCCACCCTGGGGCAGGTGACCCCACACACTCCAGGGCAGTCCTGGAACTGTTTCTTGCTTCCTGCGCTCTGACTTTTAGAGGTGGGTAGCCCTGGGCTCCTCCTAGGTCTGCACATCATCATCCCAGCTCAAGGCATGGAGCTCCCCAGTCATAGGGCAAGAGATAGTGGTGTGAGAGACTCTTTATGCTGGGTGCAGTGGCTCACACCTGTAATCCCAGCACTTTGGGAGGCTGAGGCAGAAGTTTGAGACCAGCCTGGCCAACATGGCGAAGGCTCACCTCTACTAAAATTACAGCAACAACCACAACAACAAAGCTGGGCGTGGTGGTGCACACCAGTAATCCCAGCTACTCAGAGGGCTGAGGCATGAGCTTCACTTGAGCCCGGGAGCTGGAGGTTGCGGTGACCTGAGTTTGCACCATGACTCTCCAGCCTGGGCCACAGAGTGACACTCTGTCTCAAAACAAATCAAAACAAAGCAAAACAAAACGAAAGTCTCCTTAGATCCAAACTGAATTTTGGCCTCGGTTCCACTGGTCACCATTGGACTACTTTGCATCTCTAGTCTCTGTTTCTTTAACTTCCAAAGGAAGTTAGCATTTTCCTTGTGTGGGTGCTGAGGATTAAATGAGATGATGCGTGGAAAGCATTAGGCATGTAGCACACTTGGCAGATGGTGGTCTGCTCCCTCTGGTTTTCCACCAGTCAGTCACCTACAGTTTAAATGGTGGAAGGAAGGACGTGAGACTTTAGGCTGGGGAAGGAGCCATGGGGTTCTAGGCAAGGGAGGCAGTCTCTTAGGCTGGAGCCAGGGGCCAGGCACGTGGGCAGGCCACCTTCCTCTGTGGTCCTCCCAGACCCCCTTATGCTCTTGGTTTCTCTGCTTTCTGATTCCTCTGGACCCTCACCCCTTCCTGGAGCCAGTGGTCAGACACCTTCATGATCGACAGGTGCACTCTCTGAGGCCCCAAGGGAACGGGCTGCACTCCACCTCCCTGCCCTGTCTGTCCTGTGTATGCCCCTACAAGAATGCTCCCCTCTTGCCTTCAGGTGCCATTTCTGAACACTGCTGGAGCCGGTGCCCAGGAGGAGCAGGCACAGCTCTGTGAGCAGCTCCAGAAACAACAGGTGTGCTGCCAGCACCAGGCTCACCTGGTGGCCTCGGCCCTGAGGGAGCCAGAGGCAGCGGCCATGGCCACAGGGACTGGGAGCGAGTGTGGGTGTGGGGAGACCCAGCGGGCCCTGCAGGAAGCCATCGACAAGCTGCAGGTGAGTGAGTCCTGGCAGGGGTCATGAAGGGTGGGGGTGGGGCAGGTCGCTGCCGAGATGTGACCCCATTATTTTGGCTCCAGAGAGACTTCATTGACATTGTGAAGGAGAATGCTGACCTCAAGGAGCGGGTGGAAAAACTAGAACTCGGACTCATCCAGCTCTCTGGAGAGAGAGACATGATAAGTGAGCAGGAGGCCAGGGCAGGGCAGGGGGAGCTGCAGGGGGCTGGGAGGGGCCCCAGTGTCTGAGCCTGTCCTCCCACAGGAAAGTCCATCAAACCAAATGACCGTCAGAGGGCAGTGGCCAAGACCCAGCACCAGAAGAAGAACGTTGTTAGCATGCTGTCCGAGGCCAAGGAGGGGATGAAGGTAAGGTGTACAACATCTCTATGGGGGTGAGGGGGATGTGGGTGGGCATGAGTGTGGGCGCTGGCACCGGCTTGGCAGCTGAGCACCCCTATCTCCAGGTGAAGCTGCCGGAGCTGCAGGGGCCAGTGATGCAGCTTATGATCGACCACGAGGTCCAGCACCCTGCTAATGAGTCCACTCCAGGGGCCCCAGACACCCAGGAGCTTGGTGCTGCTGACAAGGATGGTGAGCAGAGCCCTCAGGCAGGGTAGGCAGGCAGGAGCAGGGGAGGCTGGCACTGTGCTCAGATTCCCACCTCCCTCTCTCCAAAGAATTTTATGAGATGAGCCTGGATGATGACAGTGACAGCCTAGAGCCTGCAGGAGGGAGAGTACACCACAACCCCACTGCACAGCAGATGGCGCATGGCTTTGTGAGCTGCGGGATAGCCAGCAACACCGACCCTTGGGCAGCAGTCCCTCCATGCCATGCTTTTACCGGGCTGCGGCGAAGGAGGAAGTAAACATCACCATCAGCTAAGAGCTGGCCAAGAAATTTACAAAGGAACAAAGTTATAGGATTACTCTTCTACATGTTACTTTATTCGAATGTTAGAGCCACTCATGATGATTTCTGTTTCTAATTTATAGTTTTTTTGTAAAAAGTTAAAGGAGAGTGGGTCTTCTTGTGGCTTTCACCGATGCCCACTCTGGCATCCTTTCGAATTTTTCGTTTTAATTTGATAATCATAGGTCATTAGCATGCCTATCGTGTTTGCCCTTACGTGGTGGGAGTTCAAACACACAAAGACCCACTACTGGCACAAAACCATTCTTGCTAATTTGGAATAGGCTGCCTTGGTTTTTACTGTTACTGCAGCATGTATATTCATTATGGAATTCAGATACAATTTGCTTATGTTCTGCTATGATATTTGATGGAATCCTAATCACAGTGAGCTCTTAATTAGCTCAATGTGTGCTTTGCCCTCACCTGTACACTGTTTATTACTTTGTGAGATGCCACTATGAGTACTGACGTTTAGAGTTGTTGAAAAGCCGAGAACTGGAAACAGCCTTTCTTCCATGTCCTGTATATTGCAAATGGGAGTAATATCATTTTTGGGAGCTTTTAAAATCTCACGGAAGAGGAAAGTGGCCTTCTCTGTCAGGTATGTGCAGAATAGAGTATTTCATTGGTTCCCGTGCCAAGAACGAGCGCTGTGCATGGCAGTTCTTTTAGGGTTTTTCTGTGCCCTGGGCTCATGAAGATACTGCATCATGAGCTGCGGCAGCTGTACTCTTTTTTGATGACCTAAAGAAGGATGATTTCTGAGGAATAAAAGGCTCCCATCTTTGACAGTGGATGTGGAAAACCTTTCCTAGCTTAGAGCATTTATATCTATAATACGTTGTAAAGTCAGAGTTCACGTTTCCTATTCTAATGACATGACTCCATGTCTCAGTTCATAAAAGAGCACTGCTTAGCATTATTCTTAATGTATTAGTAAAGATCATAAGAAATCCTTTAAGATAAGGTTTATATATATATATATAAAGGAATGGAAATTTGTATCTTAGAATGGATAGGCATTAAATATTGATTAATGAACAGTTAATGTTTTAGGACACTTGGTATAGTGCCTTGCATACAGAAAGAGACCACGGATGAGATTATCCTTTTGTATCATTTCACAGTTTTAAAAATTGCTATTGATTACAGTTCACATAGCAAGCTGCTGATAAAATGTCTGTTTTTATAAAACGTCTCCAACAACAACAAAGAAATACTTAAAAGTTTAAATATCCAGAAAATAAAATAAAAATTTTAATTAAAAATTTTAAAAACTTTAAATGTCCCTGGAACAGGCATACAGGTTGTCAAGAATGAACTAGAGTGCAGGAAAGCCATGTGACACTTGGCATCCCTCTGTTCATGGAGCTTCTTTGTGGCTAGATTGATTTGACCGTCCAGACTTCTCTGGCTAATACCTATTCTTCAACCACTTTGGTTACTCTGACATAGGAATTGACTTCTTTTTCTTGAATAGAAAGGACTTTAAACAATAATCACAAACAAAAATTAATAATCACAAACATTATTATAAACTGATATATGTGAGAGTACTTAGCTGAAACAAAAAGGAGTTTCAGTAGACAGAATTGTACTATATTTGAAAATCAAGTTTATGCAACTTAAAATGTTTATAGACTGCAGTGCCATCTACTGTTTGTGAATGTCAACGTATTATCAGGAAAACCTTGTATACAATCACAGTTGTGTCTCCTCACCAAGTTCTTTACCAAGAGTGAAATATGTTTTTATACCTTTCGGTTTCAGTTAGAGGTGTATTTTGTGCAAGATTTATGTTAATGTGCCTCTGCATTATGAATGAATCCTTTCAGTCAGACATTTTCTAAATCATAACTTTATGATGCTTGGGAAAAAATCAACAGTTGAAACTTCATGAAGTTCTAATGTCTGTGTGCAAAATACGTCCCATTGTTAGGATGGAGGGAGATACGCATGTGTGCTCCCTGAAGTGGAGATTCCTGGTTGCTGACCATCTCCATGTTCAGCATTTTCCATGATACTTTCATATATATGACATTAATAGGAGAGCACTAATATGATTTTACAGATGGATTAACACATTTGCCTGCATTCCCTGAAAGAGTGCAAATATTGGGTCCTGGTGACTTGAACTGACTCTTTCAAATTGTAGGAATTTATCAATGTATCAGATAAACCCACTTTCAGAATGATGGAGGAAAAACATTTAGCTTTTTCTTAAATAGATGACACAATACCTACACAGAGTGATATTTCAGTTAATATAGCAAATGTGCTTTCCAGACTGACATTCAGCTTAAATATGCCCGTATGTGATTTACTCCATAGGTACCTGATGAACACATTATTGTCAGTTTGGGTACAGATGCTAGACACTATCTGAAGGTCATTCTTAGTCATTTATATTTCTTAGGGTAAAAGTGAAGTGATTTGAACTATCAAAAGACCTTTGGGCCGGGCGCGGTGGCTCAAGCCTGTAATCCCAGCATTGTGGGAGGCCGAGGCGGGTGGATCACGAGGTCAAGAGATCGAGACCATCCTGGTCAACATGGTGAAACCCCGTCTCTACTAAAAATACAAAAAATTAGCTGGGCATGGTGGCGTGTGCCTGTAATCCAAGCGACTCAGGAGGCTGGGGCAGGAGAATTGCCTGAACCCGGGAGGTGGAGGTTGCGGTGAGCCGAGATCGCACCATTGCACTCCAGCCTGGGTAACAAGAGCGAAACTCCGTCTCAAAAAAAAAAAAAAAAAAGACCTTTGAAATAATTTATCAAGGTGTTAGATAAACTCAGTTTCAGAATGATCAAGAAAACACGTTAGCCCAAATAATGTGGCAGACTAACAGTGGTACGATTTCTAGCCCGGAGAATTTAAAATGGACTTAAAGTTCTGTTCTTGTGTTTTATTTTTGAACTTGCCACTTTTGCATTCTGTGAGTTCAGTTTAAAGACAGTTACTCTAAGTCCATTTTCAGCCCTCGGGCTAGAAATCGTACCTCTGTTAATCAGCCACATTATTTGGGCTAACGTTTTTTCTTGATAATTCTGCAACTGAGTTTATCTAATACATTGATAAATTATTTCAAAGGTCTTTTGATAGTTCAAATCTCTTCACTTTTACCCTAAGAAATATAAATGACTAGGAATGACCCTCAGATAGTGTTTAGCGTCTGTACCCAACCTGACAATAATGTGTTCATCAGGTATCTATGGAGTAAATCACATACGGGCATATTTAAGCTGAAGGTCAGTCTGGAAAATACATTTACTATATTAACTGAAATATCACTCTGTGTAGGTATTTTGTCATCTATTTAAGAAAAAGCTAAAAAGAATGAAAATCATATGACAGCGACTTAAGTCTTTCTTCAAAGTTCATGTGTCTTTTGCAGTACTTCATTCAGCCAAGTATCTGTTCTCTCCCTCATTCAGTAGAAGGCAGCTTTCAGTTTGCTTAGAAGGCAACATTAGAAGGTTAGCATTCATCAAAAACATAGAATTTTATTTTTTTCATATTTGTGTATGTTTATTTTAGATAACTGAAACTTCACAGACTTTAACAGCAAACAAAGTTTAAAAAATTTAGTTCTGTACTTTAGCTCCAACTATCTCTGTTTTACAATCTATAATGCCATAGTTCAGCGCCAAAAAGATCCACACAAAACTGTTTAAGCAATCTTCTTATCCATCCTGTGTGATAGTTTTTGTTTGTTGTTGTTGTTTTTAAGGTAAAAGTCCTGCTTACAGACCTTGAAGTGGAATCCCTCTAGTCAGAGTACAAAACTTGGGTTGTACCTTCTTATTTTCATTGACCAGATACCAAAAAAAAGGAAAAGAATTGTGTTCCACCATTGATTTAGGTTGTCAGTCTCTTTGTTGAATTTATAACACTGAAGCATCAGAAGTAACATAACAATGCCCTGCCCCTATTCTTCCCCTCCATTTTAAATTTTTAAAAAGGCAACGTGAAAAATGTTTCATTTATTTTTTAAAATAAGGTGCAAAGAAGGATTACAACAACAAACGTCCTCATCCACACCTCCAATAACATCTCACTATTTAGCATAATCTACCATGAACTGATTCAGGGGCTCACCTAGAGCTATATTCACAGCTCCTGAATGTACCATGTTTGCTATACCAGAGGCCTGCTCAATGGCTGCGTCTCTCTGTTCAGAGGCCGTTACAAAAATACATAGAATTTTCAAATGTGGATTCAACTGAATAAATTTGAATTTCTGTAGGAAAAATCAACATACCTATTTAAAGAGTGTAAGATATGATAATCATTTTTAAAGGGTTTTATTAAACCAGATAAGTTTTCCAGAAATGAATAAAAATCAGTTCTGAAACCAAAGCTGATTTTAAGAAAATTTGAAAATGTAAATCTGTCCTATCCCATCCATAATATAGCTTCTCCAAAACTTTATCTTAAAGAGTCATTTTAAAATAACTATTAAAACATGTAACTGCTATCTTAATGTTTTGAAATTACTTAAAACATTTTAAAATATGAATATTGCAGTTTAAAAGAAACCAGGGGGAAAAAAAGTGGAGAAAGAAACACGAATTCCAGTCCAAAGCTTTAGTTGCCAATTTCCTAAGAATGACTTTTACCAATGTATGAACTCTTGTGAACAGAATGTAAGATGAAAACCCTGAGCCTTTTGTCTAAAGCAGCATTATTGACTGCTGCTGTGATGTTCCTGTAATGTAATAAATTATTCAATTGCTGCAAAGTGCTGTTTTTGCCTTAAAATTTTGTGCATCTTGACAACTATAGTATTAAAGGTATTGAGACTCTGCAAATGCTGGGCACACTTGGCATGAGATTATCTTTTTATTTTTACAAACTGTAATATAACTATGCAAGTGTGTTTATTAAAAGAAAACAAACATAAAAGTTATGGGATTAAAAGTTATGGGATTAAAAGGTATGGGATAAAAATGT